AGAGAGAGAGAGAGAGAGAGAGAGAGAGAGAGAGAGAGAGAGAGAGACTAAAAGGCAACCTCACAGCTGTCATGTGAATCCTGTAGACAACTTACCATGCCAGACCCTCTCTGCTGCACCACCACCATCAAACAAGCAGAAACTGTGACTAAGCATCTGAGCTGCTGAGGCCTTCTCTGGTTGCACTGAGAGAGGAGGAGGAGCAAAGAATGGACCTGGTTCCCAGCCGGGAGTCAGGAGCAGTCTGGTGCTGTTGATCTCACTGTTTCTCCCAAACCCCTGCCTCAATGACAGCCATCTTTCTCGTCTCTCTATTCTCCTCCTAGATCCGATGTCTCCATCCAGTTTTCCACCATGGCATCAAATCACCTTCTGCCTGCTGATAGGACTCTTGTTTGCAATAGATACAATGCTGTATTTCTCCATGCAGAGGGGTCTTCAAAGTTCCGTGGCAGACTATGAGGAACCCAAGTTTCACTGGAGCAAAGAACCTCAGGACAAGTGAGCCCTTATCTCATGGAATGATAAGAACACAGTTTAGAACCTATGAGCCCCCCTTGGACTCGCTACCTCACCATCTGCATCGGTCACCAAGCGTTCAGCAGCAGGAATAATACAAAAGCCCTTCCCCCAACTGGTTTGTTTTTGTTTTTGTTTTTGGTGTTGTATGTTTGTTTGTTTGTTTGTTTGTCTCTCTCCAGTGGACTATCTCAGGGGAAAGGGAAAGCCTGGAGTCTTCAAGGACCATCAGTGAAGCAGCAATGAGCACACAGTTGCCCCCCCCCCAAAAAAAAAAAGATGCTTCAGAATTTTATGCTTTCTCTGCCCCAAACATTCCGTCAGGGCAAAGCAACAGCCCGGGCTCTGGGCGGTGACCCTTTCCACGCTTAACAATTGCTCATAAATAAACTTCTGTAGAAAAGCGAGTGGCTGCCTGAGCCAGTGGAGCAGCTTTCTGTATCTTCCTCAGGCGCGTTTGCCTTCTGGGAAACCGCAGACTTCTTTCAGAGTGTGGGCGGTCCTGAGGACCGAGGCAGTGCAGCTGAACTCACGGAGAAGACAGGTAAGAGCTAGGGAAGGGAAGGTATCACCCCTCCCTGAGCAGAGCCAGTTGATAATATCTGAGAGAGGGAAGTCCCTTTCTTCAGTTGAATAGCCTCTGGTAAACTGTCCTAACCTACCAGCTGTTCACATGCAAATAAACTTAACTAAACTCAAGCAAGACCCTAAAGAAAGCAGGAGAGGCACTTGTTCAGCAGAAGAGGAGCCTCAGAGGTAGTGGGAAGCCGTGATGGAGGGTAATGGAGGGTGAGGGTTCCTGTCAATACCAGGGCATGCCCTGACAAGACAGCAACGCCAGCGAATAGTTAAAGGGTGCGGAGATAATCCACTTTGGAGCTGGTCTCAGAAAGCAGCATCTGCTTTTTTGCAAGTGAACAACATCTATTGGGTGTGATTGGTTAGCATCTTACCTCGGATTGGACAGTGAGGGTGCATACTGCCAGGATCTCTATGCAGAGGAAGCACATTAAAGAAGCCCTAGAGAGTGCAAACTCCACCACAGGCCAGCTACTGGCTACTCATGCTACCGATAATTCAGTGTTCTGGGGCACGGTGTACCATGTTTCTTATTAAAAGTATAGTACTCTAAGTACTCTGGCTGTCAGTCAGGCCTGCATTTTCTCCTACAGAGAATGACCAAAATATGCTGTATATGTGTATGAGACTGTAATTTATTTATTTATTTACTTATTTATTTATTTATTTATTTTTATATATGAGTGTTTAGCTTTCATGTATGTATGCACATCACATGTGGCCCTGGTGTTTTCAGAAGTTAGAAGAGGGAGTCAGATCCCCTTAAACTGGTGTTACAGATGGTTGTTAGCCACCATGTGGATGCTGGGAACGGAACCTAAGGACTCTGCAAGAAATGCTCTTAACCACTGAGCCATCTCCCCAGCTCCACGTCAAATATATATATATATATATTTTTTTTTTTGTAAAGAGTAGGGAAGGGAGCTAGAGAAGCAACTCATCAGTTAAGAGCCTTGGCTGTTCTTGATGAGGCTCTGGTTTCAATTCCCAGGCCCCACATGGTAGTTTACAACCGTCTATAACTCCAGTTCTAAGGGATCTGATTCCCACTTCTGACCTCCATTGACACCAGGCTCCAAGCACGAATGTAGTATGTATATTGTTGAGGTTCAGAAATCACCTCACAAACCACACAAACACCAATCTCAGTCAAACAGGGATAGTTGATTGAGCATAAGCCCTAGGACTGGTTGATCGGACCCATGGTACAGATTTGGGAAACGCACCATGACCCAGAGTTAAGATCATACAGAATTTTAAAGCCCAAAATCTACAAACATCTGTGCAAAGTTATTTCACCTATAGGGATAGCAGACGTCCTTAGGAACATGTCTTTGTTGTACACTTATCCTGTCCCCATTGGTTCAACTGTGGCAGGGGACTCGCCTTGCCCAACATTCATGTCCTAACTTGTCTGCTAGGATAGGATTTGTAACTTGCCAATGAGGAGGTCAGTCACCCACATACACGTCTCATTCTGCCAAGTGGGATGTCAGTTTCCAGGGAGGTCTTGGGAATTTGAATTTACTAGATCATACTCCAATTACTTTCTTGTATTGGTGCAGCTGTCTTTCTTCTGTTGCAGTCCATCTCAGGGGCATCTTATAAAGGCAAATGCCATAAAAGCTTATACACAGGTTCAGAAAGTATTACTGGGTAGTTGGTTTGGGTCCAAGCTTATTGTGTGTAACTATGCAAAGCAAGTCAACTGACTTCTATCCTGATTGTTTTCCCAGGGCAGAACATAACAGAATAGTAACCAATTTGTCATTAGAAAGTTTCCTAGTAACAGCAGAAGCAACACAGTAACAGAACAAAATGGAAAGCTTAGATAGGTAATAGTTACCTAGGCCCTAACAATACCTATACAGACAAAATACTCATATACATAAGGTACAATAAATCTAAAAGAGAAAGAAAGAAAGAAAGAAAGAAAGAAAGAAAGAAAGAAAGAAAGAAAGAAAGAAAGGAAGGAAGAGCGAGCGAGCTGAGGCATCTAGGGCAGACCAGGGAGGCGTCACCCTCGGAGACCAGAGATAAGACTGTCTTCCTAGATCAGACGCTACAACTAATAGGAGGCTGCACATGTGACATCAGCTTGAGTTGTTCAGGAAGTCTCCATTGGAGCTGGGATGCTCTGAAAGCACGGAATATTGCAATGTCTTAATGTGTCAGACTACGGCATTGGTCAATTCTGGGCCACTGGGTGGGGGTGGAGGGTGGAGGTTTGAAAAGATAGCAAATAGCCTGTGTTGTGCTAAGTGAAGAAATATAGCTAGCTCAGCCTCTGAGTTAAGAAGAATGCGCTAAGAGTCCACAATAAGTTCACAGAACGGAATGGCCAGAGGGTGAAGACACTTGTTGACTAAAGTCAACGTATTAAGAATTAGAAGAGGCACTGGGACTATAAAAATCAGCTCTTCTGTTTCTATGTCTCTTCCCATAATACATCTGATTTTAGTCATATGCATTCCCTATTGTAGCTAGGCATAAGACGGTAAATAGCGGAGTCTCCGTAAAAGGTTACTAAGGACATTGGCATATACCCAAAACCAATTCAAGCTAGGTCAATTCTTCTGCTTTTCATATCCAGAAACACTGAAAATACACGTGAATAATAGAAACTATTTAAAATTGATTGTTGCCAGGGGTAGGGAGACTTACGTTATTATTCATAGATTGAGTATGTATAGCCCAGTGTGGGTTGTGGGTGGGAGGGTTCTGAGATTACTACAAGCATTTTGTTAGGAGAGGGGTAAGTGTGCCATGGTACTTACATGTAAGAACCAGGCTGTCTAGTGCATTGTAGCAAGAGAGTGTGTACATACATAACCCAAGACCAAGTTGGAGTCCCAGGGTAGTAAAATGTCTCCTGTGCTTGCCGTTCTTACCTACGATGTGCCAGTGGGTGCTGAGAAGGTCACGTGAACAAGTCCGTCTCATTCTAAATTGTTCTCATCCTTTTATCCTCGTGAGCAAAACAGGCAGGTAGCGAGAGGCTGGAGAAAGCCTGCAGAGGAGGTTCATTTGGGGTGAGGGTGTGAAAGGGGGAGTTTACCAGGCAAAAAAAAGAAAGAAGCTGGAAGTCCAGGACAAAGATTCAAAAGACATTGAGTTTAGGAGAAGAAGTTCTACCTATTGGGTCTAAGAGCCAGTAAGGGAGAAGGGACAGTTTCGGGGACACTAACTAAAAGACGTTGCTGTCCAAGCTAAAGGGATGGCATCAGATAGCGCCAGGTATTGGAAGAGTAGACGCTGGTCGGGTTCGGAGTTTACGGATTCTGGAGCAGCTTCTGGAGCGGAGAATTTAAGACCCGAGAAAGGAAACCTCTTCCGGTACCAGGAGGCGATGATGAGATTAAGAAGGAAGTAAGGAGTGGCAAGTGAGACACCTCGTCCAATACGGACGTTCCAAGAATCGTCAGCCAGGGAGGGATTCAGGAGTCCTGAAATACGAAGGAAAGGCAGGCAAAGGTTCCTGGGGACAAAGAAAAGAAATTGTCTTCGGATCCCTATCACTGATCTTTCAAATTCCTACCGAGTATCAGCTTTCTACGTCGTTTCGGTAGTGAACTTAGAACTGTAACTGCGAAAACAGGTTACCTTCAAGAGACTGCTAGCAAAACGCTTAGGCAGAAATGTTGAGGAACTCTAACCACAACATTTGGGCTGACACTGGGCTCCTGGCAGTCACTTGAGTGAGATAGCTTGAATTCTCTGAACAACAAATTTCAAGAACGCCAAGTACACAAAACACTCCCACCGTCCCTGGGTGGGCTCGAACCACCAACCTTTCGGTTAACAGCCGAACGCGCTAACCGATTGCGCCACAGAGACAGGTGATGCTTAGGGCCGCTGTCAAGTCACCTTACTAAAGAATATATTGGTCGCTTATCTGCCAAGAGTTGTAGTGGGAATTGACAAAGCAACTCACTTACCGTAAATATAGTAAAGAAGGGCACCATCTCCTACTTAGATAAGGAATAGGTCCCGGTTCTACCCGCTGAGTCTGAGACAAGAGGATGAACAAACCAATAGTCTTTGGGAAATCCAAAATTAATGCTTTCTTAGAATTTGAGAATTAAGTTGATTTTGTTTACAAACGTTGCAGGCCGGTCTAGTTTATTTACGTATGCAAATATGCGTGCGTAAGTACTTAGTCATAAGCTCATTTTTTTTTTTAATGTAATAACCCCGTTTCCAGGTGTGTCTGGCAAAAAGTACTTTAGAGTTCTTTAACAAAACTAGTCATACCAGCTGTCTTGAAGTCTACTGGGACATGAGTCACCCAGGCAAAACAGGGAATTTTTAAATTCTTGTAACTTAACGATGTTAACAATGACACATCTGCAAACAAATACCAAAAGATACATTCCCCTTAGTCTACTGCCTTCAATTTAAGGACCCTCACCAGGTGTAGGGTCTAATGAGTCATTTTCTATATTGCCCAGGTCTCAGGAGTTTTCTGGCGCCTCCGCATACTAGTTAGTACCTCCTTGTATCTATTTCTGCAGCCTCTACCAATAATACACAGATTAAGTTTAAGCACAGGTCAACATTTTTAAAGATTTTACACAAGCAAAGACACTTATGTGCAGAAAATATATATATGCACATATTTTATATTTGTGTTATATAACTAGTTATATATTATATGTTACAAATATATAAAATATTATATATAATACACACACACACACACACACACATATATATATATATATATAATTTGCTACATGGCCTTTTTATTTAAAAAAATTTTTGCACTTTGTAGTGGTTTGAATGAGAATGGCCCCATAGACTCATTGTGGTAAATCTGTTTGTTGAG